AAAAAAATATAATAATAATATAGATTATCAATTGTTCAAAATAGTGATAATAAAGTTAATTTTTATTGCATTTTAATGTTTTATTACCTTTTTTGGTTTGAATGTTTTACCACACATCTCACATTTATGGGGGCGTTATTCAATATGAGTAGTTTTATGTAGATTTAATGTATTTTTGTTGTGAATGTTTTACTGCATGTTTCACATTTATGAGCGAGTTCTTTATACATTAATTTATTTGCATAGAATTGATTAGAGTTATGAATTGTTTTACCAAAGTTTATTTCGCTTGTACTAGGTTGCTTTTGGGTCATCACTCGTTTCATGTTTTATTTCTTCCTCGATTGTAGAAATCGCTGTAGATAAATTTCTTCATTTTCAGGCATATTTTCATAATCATCTGATTCTTTATTCATGTGAGGATAATCATAAATTCTTGATTCACTTCAAGAAAATCATCAACTTCTTGTTTCAGTTCATGATGTTCCATCGGTTCAATTTTGCAAGAATTTGTTTTTCCTGACATTTTCAACAGTTGTTGGTTATTGTAAACAAACTAAAAACGGCTTCTTAAATGCTGATTATGTTTTTAATATACATTATAAGTTAGTAAATGCATATGAAAAGATTTTAAAAATATATTAAATGTGTTTCAGTATATATTTTTAATAGTTTTGTTTAAAAAATATGACTTTATAAAACGCTTTGACAGTTCTAATTAATTTTACATTCACATGGCATCAGGCGTGATAACATTGAAAACATTACAACTGTCATTTTATAAATGGCGCAAAATATAAAATCATAGTTTTTAAACATTAGATAGATTTTTGTTTATTAGTATTGTAAAACGATCGAAGTTCAAATTTGTTTATTCTTACATGATTTAATTTTGGAATTTGCTAAACTTTTGATTGTTTGAATTTTTACAAAATGCAATTTATCAAAAATCTTCTAGATTGCACTTTTTTTTAAAAAAATTCGAATAATTTGTGATGATAAATAATATAAATTAAATCGAAGTGGCATTTCCCGTATGAATTTCGTATAATTTGTGATAAAAAACAATGTAAACTAGTTGATTTGGTATTTAGCCTTGAGGCAAGTTACATGAACTTCTCGATATGTGTGAATAATCTACTTAATCAATAAAAAATAAATTAATTTATGAGTTATAAAAAGTATTTCGAGTGAATTTATTACACATAATTGAACACGAACGAACACTTTGACTCGGAGTATTTTCTAAAAGCAAATTTTCAAAAATCAACCATTATAATTGAACCAGTTTCCATAGGACTTTAAGGGCTCAGTATGTTCATTAAAACCAAGAACTCTATCGCGTTATACCAAGTAAGTCGTCTATTTTTAATTTTAACAAACGTCAACAAAACTACTCATTTTCTTCAAATTTGGTAATTTTTTAAAATTAAACTTGTCGTGAGGGCGTAATATTTCAATAAGTTGTCTAAGACATTGATATATATATATATATATATATATATATATATATATATATATATATATATACATATTAGTACAATATATACGGCAGGACCTGACTTTTCCAAACTAGTCGTCCACAATCGCCCTATCACTAGGAAATCGAATGTTTTCTTGAACCATTCAAATCCCGGTTGATACGTACGCAAACAACACATCCATTTTTCTGAGGTATCAGTCCAAAATGTTCCAAAAACGTATATATTATATATATATATATATATCGCCAAAAAAAGTTCCATAAAAATCGGCTTAAATTTTTGTTTCAACAATTAATTACAAGAAAACGGCTCGGTAGATTTTCACCTAAAACTAATCATTATTATTCCCAACTAATATCTTTCAAACAGTTTTTGATTTTTTTTAAATCGATTCGGTAGAATAAGCTTAAATATGGACGAAAAGTTTAACACTTTTTTTCAAATTATAAAGAAGCGGCTCTGCCGATCGTCGCACAAAACTGAGAAACGATAATCCTCATCGAGATACATCAAATGGTTTTTAAATTTTTGAAATCGGTTCAGGTGTTTTTGAGCAAACGTCGATGAAAGTTCTAATTTGGGCAAATGCCAAAAAGACCATACTAATTTTTGCAAATTTTGACGAATTTTTAAAGCTAAACGAGTTGTCGTAAAAGACTACTATGGTATCTACCGCCAAAAAATAATCATAAAAATTTTCCAAATTTGGTCTCATTCGATTCAGAATGGCTTGAAACGTCGAGAAAACAGCAAATCGGATTATTTGATGAAAACATAAACTTCTCTTTCGGGAAGTTAGTTAGGTGTAAGAGATATTTTTCCAGGAAGTAAGAGCAGAAACTTGGGCAAATTGCTGGTACTTCCCGTACTGTAATGAAATATTTGAGGAATATTAAATGTTTTCAAATAGATTAATATAAATACTGTAACTATATTTGTAATTACTGAAAAGTAAATAAACAAAACTTAATCAATCGGATTTACAATGTCTATTTATAAGGATTATGTAAACTGAATTGCAAAGTTTAAATTATTCATTTGAAATTGATATTAGTGAGCTTTAGAACTTTAGCTAGAGGGAAGATTAAAATCCGAAATAATTTCGATATAAAAAATATTTTTTTTTTGAAAATAAAAAAAAATCAAGAATCTTAAAGTTTTGTCAACACAAGCAGAAAGTTTGTTTAATTCTCGCAAAACTGCCATTTTTTGCACATTTCGGTATCTCCGGAATGGTTGGACTTGAAACTAATCATCACTTCTCCCCATCATTATACGAATTCAATATTTTTAGATCATTCAAATCGGGTGCTCCGTTCTCTCAAATACTCGATTTATATTTTCTGCACTCTTTGCTCCGCGCCTCCGAAACGGTTGGACCTGTTTTTGCTCAAAACAAATCAGTACATCTCCTTATTATAGGAACCAAATGTTTTTTGAACCAATAAAATTGGTTGATTCGTGCACCCGAAAACGTGGACAAATAATTGTATCCATACATACATATACACACAAACACAACATTTTTTTTTGAATGCCACAATGTTTAGAAACCTTCAAAGCGTGAAGAAATGCAATTACTTTCTATTTCGATTTTTGGACTATTCAATAACTTACAGGTAGTTAATTAAAACAAAATCATCGAAATTTATATTAACTTCCATTAGGGTAAGTTTTTGTAATCGTCCAAAAATCGAAATTGATAATTTTTACATTTTTTCACGTTTTGAACATTTTGACATACCTCAGAAAAATGGATGTGTGTGTGTGCGTACGGATCAACCGATTTGAATGGTTCAAGAAAACATTCGATTCCTATTGATAGGGAGATGTGACGACTAGTTTTTGGCAAAGTCAGGTCCTGCCGTTTCGGAGATACGGAGCAAAAAGTGCAGGAATAGAATTCGAGTTTTTGAGAGAACGGAGCATTCGATTTAAATGATCCAAAAAACATTCAATTCGTAAAGACGGGGAGAAGTGTTGATTAATTTTTGGCAAAGGCAGGCCCAGCCATTTCGAAGATACGGAGCTAAATGTGTAAAAAATGGCAGTTTTTGAGAGAACTAAGCGTCCGATTTAAATGATTCAAAGAACTTTCTGCTTGTCTTAACAAAATAATTGATTTTGAAAAAAAAAAATTTGTTTTGTATATCGAAAATAATTCAGATTTTACTTTTAATTCTGACTATAGTTCTAATATACTTTAAACAAATAATTTCAACTTTGCAATTCAGTTCATATAATTCTTATAAATATTAGACAATGTTACAATATTAATAATAATCTATTTGAAAACATTCAGTATTTCTCGAACATTTCGTTACGGTACGGGAAGTTCCAGCAATTTGCCTTAAAGCACGATGCCGCGTACACCCCACTAGTTTTAACTTTGCAATTCAGTGCAAAGTGAATTAATCTAATTTATTTGAAAACATTTAATATTCCTCGAACATATCGTTACGATACGAGAAGTTCCAGCAATTTGCCTTAAGGCACGATGCTATACACAACTAGTTCATTTTTGAAACCCTAGACCCTAGCCCTAGACCATAGATAAGAGAAGAGTCTGATATGTCCTGGACTCTAGGTCCATGAGTCGTAAGGCAATCTGGAATTGAGCCATTTTCAAGACTAGAAATAAAACCTGCATACAACCATATAACTGACAGTCTCTATCACCTACCTAAATATAAACACATATGCATACTCTTCTTTTATCTATGTATAAATACTTGTCAGAAATTAAACAATCGAAATATTTCTCCACAAGGCAATATGAGATTATAATATATCCATGTGAGACTATATAGTCTATGAAATACTTTGCGGCGGTTAAACTCATATCAAAGTGTTTTATGGAATTACATTGTATTTTATTAAATCTTAAATCATATTTTGTTATTTCAAAAGATATACATAGGTTTTAAACATCGACAACATTTTTTCCGTCATTGTCAGTTTGTGTACGAGAATCAACGACATCTAAAAATGTCTGAAGAAGCAAACTCAAATGAAACAATTGAAATTGAACTGATGATTATTTTCAAGTGAATCAAGGATTGAATCATGTTAATATTTTACCGAAAAAGGACGAAATAGATAAAGAATCTGAGATGAGAGTCGAGGAAGATATAAAGCAAAAAACTGGTACTAAAGGAAACGAAACAATATTAGATAAAGAATCTTACATACATAATGAAGAAGAAATCAGTAAGTCAGATAATTTAGAGGATAATGCGAGTAAATCATCTGAAAGAGTTCCAGGAAAACGTGATACAACCCGTTACTTGAAATACACAACTTGTAAAATATGTAATAAAACATTCAAAAGAAGACGATCATTACTCATACATAACAGGATCCATACTGGAGAAGAAGATCTTCATAAATGCGCTATATGCAATAAAATATTCACAACAAAAAGAGCATTAGACCAACACGAAATTATTCATGCTGAAGAATTCCTTACAGTTGTGAATATGCAATAAAACATTTGCACGAAAAGAAGGATTAAAAATGCATGAAGTAAACCATACTGGAGAGCGCCCATATAAATGTGAAATCTGCAACAAAACATTCACTTTAAAACGTCTGTTAAAACAACATGAAAACATTCACACTAGACAATGTCTTTATGAATGTACAATATGCAATAAATCTTTGACAACAAAACAAAGCCTAAAGCATCATCAAATTATTCATACTGGGGTACATCCTTACAGTTGTCAAATATGCAATAAAACATTTGGAACTAAACGAGCATTAATTGTGCATGAAATGGACCATACTGGAATACGCCCGCATACATGTGAAATATGCAATAAAACGTTCACAACAAAACCTAAATTAACTCGACATAAAAAGGTCCACACTAAAGAATGTCTTCTTAAATGTGCTATATGCAATGAATCCTTTGCAACAAAACAAAGATTAAACGATCATCAAATTATTCATACTGGTAAAGGTCCTGATGGATGTCAAATATGAAATAAAACATTTTAAGGAAAAAACTCATTAAATCAACATGAACTGGTACTATATCCATCTCTATAAAATCTCAATCAGATGTACATATAAGTACCCAATCAGACTACTTGAAGAAACACTTAAAGGTGCACATTGGAGAACACTAACATAAGTGTATATTATGTAATAAAACATTTATAAGAAGAGACTCATTAAAGCAACATGAAATGATCAATACCGGGAACAGTTTCAAGAGTTTAAAAAGACATTTATTACTGCACTATGTAGAAAGCCTTCATAAAAGTGTGTCTCGTAGTAGAAAGTTTACAACAAAATATAAATTAAACCAGCTTGAAATTATCCATTCTGGAATACTTCCCTATAAGTAAAAAATAAAACATTCAATAGAAGAGACTCATGAAATGATCCATCAAGCCTTCAAGGGTTTTAAAAAGACATTTATTACTACACAATGTAGAAGGTCTTCAAAAAAAGTGTGTCTCATACTAGAAAGTCCACAACAAAAGATAAATTAAATCATCATGAAATGATCCACTCTGAAATACTTCCTTAAAACTAAAAAATAAAACATTAATTAGAAGAGACTCATCAAAACAACATGAAATGATCCATCAAGCCTTCAAGAGTTTTAAAAAGACATTTATTAGTGCACTATGGAAAAAGTCTTCATAAAAATGTGGCTCGTAGTAGAAAGTCCACAATAAAATATAAATTAAATCATCATGAAATGATCCATTCTGGAATACTTCCTTGCAACTAAAAAATAAAACAATCAGTAGAAGAGACTGATTAAAACAATATGAAATAATCCATGTTGGGAAAGCCTTCAAGTAGTTTTAAAAGACATTCATTAGTATGGAGAAAGTTTTCATAAAAATGAAGCATGCAGTAGAATATTTACAACTAAATGTAAATTAAACAGAATAAAATGATTCATTTCTAAAAATATAAAATAAGCAATAAAACATTCAGAACAAAAGAAGCAATGATTTTACAAACAATGATTGAAAAAACACTTTCACTATGAATCACCCTCGAATGTGAAACACCTATTAGTAAACAAAAAGATCATGTTTACGAATAGATATACAATAGTGACTGTAGACGATCAAAATATTTAAGACAACACTTTTTAGTGCACTCCGGAGAACAACAATATATATGTAAAACATGTGATAAAGCATACAAAACAAAAACACCATTAAAGCAAGCAATGATGCCGAGCAACAGAATTGGTATTTGGTCAAGCTATAAAGTCCTTTAAAAGCATTTTCTGATTCATATAAGAAAAAAAAATCTAATTTGAATGTACAAGTGCATTTTGAAAAAACAATTAAAAGAAATAAAATTGTTTTGAATGTACAACAGACGACATAAATTTAATTAACTGTGATAACTGAACTGTGATAATTCTTTTCATGTATTGTCAGGATATTAATTCTGTAATTTATAATATTTTGTTACAGAGTATAATGTGTAATTGTTTATTAATGTAATTATAAAAGTTTAATTGAATATATAAATATGATATTGTAACTGTTTTGTTTCCGGTTCTAAAAATATAAAATATAACTAGTGGTGTATAGCATCATGCATAAGGCAAATAGCTGGAACTTTCCGTACCGTAATGAAATTTTCAAGAAAAATTAAATGTTTTCAAATAGATTATTATAAATATTGTAATTCATATATATTTACAGAAAAGTAAATGAACAACACTCAATCAAATTTAATATGAAAAATATATGGACATTGTCTAATATTTATAAGAATTATATTAACTGAATTACAATGTTAAAATTATTTATTTCAAGTATATAAAGTGAGCTTTAGAACTTTAGCCAGAATTCAAATTAAAATCCGAATTATTCTCGATAGTCAGAAAATTATTTTTTTTGAAAAATAAAATAAAGAAATGATTTTTTTCCAAAAGCAATCGTTTCATCAACAAATGCAAAAAGGTTTTTGAATCATTCGAATCGGATGTTTAGTTCTCTCAAAAACTGCCATATTTTGCACATTTTGATCGGTATATCCGAATCGACTGGACCTGCCTTTATGAAAAACTATTCACCACTTCTCCTCATCATTACAAATTGAATGTTTTCTAAATCATTCAAATGCTTCGTTCTCTCAAAAACTCGATTTGTTTCCTGCACTATTTGTTTCGTATCTCTGTAATGGCTGGATCTGCCTTTGCCAAAAACTAATCAGCATATCTCATTCAAATTGGTTGATCCGTCCGCCCGAAAACGTGGCCAAAAAATGCGGACATACAAAACACACACACACACACATCCATTTTTTCTGAGGTATGCGAAAATGTTCGGAAACCTCTCAAACGTAAAGATATGCAAACATTTTCAATTTCGATTTACAACCCATTACTATAACTTAACCCTACGGGACGTTAAAAAATAGTTTTTCTAAAGAACTATATATAGGCTATAGAGCATTCAATAGTATAATAACGTTTACAATTTTTTATGAGAACGGTTTTAAGAACAATTCAATTTAGATTTTGATGCCTATAGTAAATTCACATTTTCACAAAAATACAATTTTACAGACAATTATAAAAGATACAAAAAAAATGTTAGAAACTGAAAATGTCCATAATGATTCTTTATGGACATTTATGGAGCTTTATTCTTTGCTTATATTGATATTAATTAAATAAATAAATTAAAAAAAAGAAAGAATCACATAAATCTTTTATATAATAAATACGTTTAATCAATTTAATCTTTTGCTTTGCAAAATAAATATAAAACTTGTTGTTGATACAAAAAATTACAATAATATAAAATTATTATTATTATTTCTATCAGCGGTCATGTATCAGTTCAGGAGTATGTAAATCCATTATTGATGATTTATAATTACTCATTGGTGTGAACAAGCATGTGCTTTTTCAAATGACTTGATAGTCTGAATGCAAGGTTGCATATTTTGCATTCATGGAAACGATCCTCAATGTGAATGAGAATATGTTTATTTAAATGACTCGATTGTATAAATGTTTTATTGCATATTTTACATTGGTGGGGCCGTTCCCCACTGTGAATCAAAATATTTCTATTCAAGCGATAGGAATATATGAATGCCTTCTTGCATATTTTACATTCGTGTGGACGATCTACAATGTGAATCTTCATATGTTCATTCAAGGTACTTGAATCTGTGAATGCCTTCTCACATATTTTACAATTATTGCTGCATTCCCCAGTGTGAGACAGCATGTGTCGATTCAAGTTACTCAATTGTGTGAATGTCTTATCACATACTGTACATTTATTAGGACGTTCTCCAGTATGAATGAGCATATGTCTCTTCAAGTTTGTAGATTGGGTGAATGTCTTTCCACATATTTTACATTCATTAGGACGTCTCCAGTATGAATGAGCATATGTCGTTTCAAGACTCTTGTATGTGCAAATGCCTTATTACATATTTTACACTTTTCAGGACGTTCCCCAGTATGAATGAACATATGTTGATCCAAATGGTTCGATCTTTTGAA